CTGTAAAAGAGATCATGTGTTGGAAGTTATTAGCACAGTTAATTCAATCATGTGTATCCCTAAATTACAGCAGAGTGGGATAGACCAGAACCAGGCTCATCCAGCATGCAGAACTGGAGGGGCTAAAGCACAGGACAATTTGGGGAGGTGAGGATGGAGGGTTAAGTGGGAGTGGGCAGACCATGAAGGCTTTACCTGGGGATAGGAGCAAGAGGTGGTAGAGGACTGGACGTGGTGGCACATTCTTATACTCCCAGCTACTTGGGAAGTTGAGGTAGGATTGCTTGAGGTGAGGAGTTCTAGGCTAAAAAAAAAAGTTAGTAGAGGAAGTCATCTATAAAGCTTCCAGTAGGCGTGGGCCCCTACTTCCAGGTTGGGGAAGAATGAAACTTTACAGGGACAAAGACTGTGCAAAAGTAAATGCTCCTCTTCATATGCACTGAGCAGTTATGCTACTTGGAAGCAATCTGCCACCATCTGCCAGTGGAAAGGCCCATTGGGCAAAGTTTCCTGATGGGACACTTCAGATGTGGTTGGGCTGCCTGGTGTCCAGGGTTACTTCTGGCCCAATCATTCAACCTTCGGCCCATGTTTTATACTGGGCTAATACTAATGAAAACCACAGCAGTATTGCCTTGGGGAGAAGCTTCTGGGCCTGCTCCCCACCCCCACATTATTTCTTTAATTTAATTAAAGAAATTAAATTAATTTAATTTAATCCATTGATGAGCTACATCCTCAGATATGTAATTTTTATTTGTTCTTTTTAGTTTCACATGACAGTAGGATGTATTTGAAAAAAAAATTTTTTTGTAGTTGTAAATGGACAGCATAACTTTTTTTTTTTTTAATTTTATGTGGTGCTAAGGATCAAACCCAGTGCCTCACACATGCTAGGCAAGTGCTCTGCCACTGAGCTATAGCCCCAGCCCAGTAAAATGTATTTTGACATATTATACATACATTGGAGTACAACTTCCCATTCTTGTGGTTGTACATGATGTGGAGTTATACTGGTCATGTATTTATATATGAACATTCCTCTTTTTTTTTTTTTTTAAACCCAGGGTCTCCTACATGGTAGGTGAGTACTCTATCACTGAGCTACATCCCCCAAACACTCTTTATTTTGAGACAGGGTCTTACAAAGTTGCCCAGACTACCCTTGAACTTTCAATCCTCCTGCCTCAACCTCTTGAGTAGCTGGGATTACAGTTGTGCATCAACCTTGTCTGCTTCACTTTTTTTTTTTCCATTTAATAAATCCTGAATATTTAACAAGACACCTATTTTTTAAAAAGAACCTAACTGGGTGCTGTGGCGCACGTCTGTAATCCCAGCAGCTTGGGAAGCTGAGGCCAGAGGATCATGAGTTCAAAGCCAGCCTCAGCAACAGCAAGGCCCTAAGCAACTCAGTGAGACCCTGTCTCTAAATAAAATACAAAAAAGGTCTGGGGATATGGCTCAGTGGTTGAGTGTCCCTGAATTCAATTCCAGGTACCTCCACCCCCAAGAAAAGACCCCCAATTTCCAGTCTTCCATGACACTAGGTATTGCTGTGATTTGGGTTCTGGCCCACAGAATACAAATACAAATACAAATCATTTATTTACATTTCAGGGACGGCTGTTGAAGGCAGGATGTGCCCTCCTCCTGTGTTCTGTGCTCATACAGTTGACAAACAGGAGGTATGAGCCATTTTTCTGAGGATGGAAGAATAACAACCTAGAAACATCTTGCCTCCCTAATGATCTTGGAGGTGCCACACCAGATGGAGGCTAATCACCTCAGATTTCCTGAAATTCATTTCTCTCTTGTATAAGCCATTGTTATTTGAGGTTCTCTGTCACATGCTGCTGAACCAGTCCTATCTGATGTAGGCGTAATTAGCACTTATTCAGGGTGCACAAGATTCCAGTCACTGCATCGGTTTGTAGCTGATGCTGCCAGTGACCTCTGGTACCTCCCAGAACTTCAGTCCAGGACATGTTGACAAAGGAACTCCCAACTCACCACCTCAGCCCCTGGGGATCAGCTTTCAGCCAGTGAGTGAGTCAGTAAAATCAACCCTGCTTCAACTCCTCATCCTTTCCACTTACTACTTCTATGTCCCTTTATGTCCAGACTTATACAGCAGGGTGTCTGCATTGTCTCCGCTTGCCCGTTCCTTCCTCACTCTCATGGGCTTCTATTCCCAGCACTCATCTAAAACTGGGATTGCAAAGGTTGCCCCCACCACCTGCATGTCAATGAAGCCAGTAGCAGTTGGAATCTTCCTCCTACTAGACTTCTCAGCAAGAAGGAAGTTGTGGCCACACCTTTGTTCTTGAAATCTTCAATAATTTACCTCTATGATGCCCCCGAGTCTATTTTCAGGCTGTTTTCCTCCCCCGTCCTTCGAGCAGCTCTGATTTCTTAGTTCTTCTGGTCTTTCTCTCTAGATGATCACGTCCAATCCTCTGCTTTGATGGTCTCTGTATGTTTATGATTCTGAATCTCCATCCAGCACAGACTTCTGAGTTCTAACATCCATGTCCAGATTTCTTTTAGACACCCATTCTTTTTTATTTTTAATATTTTTTTAGTTATAGATGGACACAATACCTTTATTTTATTTATTTATTTTTATGTGGTGCTAAGGATCGAACTCAGTGCCTTGTACGTGCTAGGCAAGTGCTCTAGCATTAAGCCACAACCTCAGGCCTAGACACCCATTCTTGCTGTGCCTCAGCACAATACCACCCTCAGACCTAAGTAGTGTTGGCCACTGCCCCTGACCAGGTGCTTCAGGGAGCCCTGCACTTTGGATTATCTTCCTTGACATTTCCTAAGTAACCTACAGAGCTTGGAATCAGCCTAGGCCAGCATAGGATTCACTTCCATGGGGTGATTATGGGGTTCTGTAACCCCACAGAACCACTCTGGTCCTGTGGTCTGGAGTGGTATTTTGTTCATAGATCATACATTATCAGGCTAATGTCATGGTTTAGATATTTGGTGTCCTCCAAAAACTCCCATGTGAGACAATGCAAAAACATTCAGAGGTGAAATGATTGGGTTATTGACAGCCTTAATCCAATCCTGATGGGGATTAACTGAGTGATAACTAAGGTATCACTGGTAGGGTGTGGCTGAAGACGTGGGTCCATGAGGCGTGCCTTTCAGGTATATATTTGGTGAGCTGAACCTAGGATCTCTCTGCACTCTGATCATCCTGTGAGCTGCTTCCCTCCACCACACTCTTGTACCATGATTTGCTGCCTTATCTCAAGCCGGGAGGAATGGAGTCAGCTGTCTGTGGACTGAGCCCTCTAAAAGTGAGCTCCCCAATAAACTTTTCCTTCTCTAAAGTTGTTCTTGTCAGTCTTTTAGTCACAGCAGCAAAAAGGATGACTAAAATAGCCACTAAATGGTATACCTTGACCTTGGGCTTGAGCTCTGTGTGTCAGCCCTTGCATTGGCTCCCGATCCCAGCTCTCTGCATCTCTGCCACCCTAGGGTGGCAGGTGGTTGGCATACCCTGTGTGCCCCCCACTATTGGCATCACTCCATAGGCTCTGCTGGCATCCAGGGAAGTCACCACAAGTACCCCCCAAGTCTCTGTGCTACATGGTAGGCTGTCTTCTGCCAGTCTCCTCTCAGAACTTGTTCCACAAGCCAACATGCTCTTCCCAATAATGTCCTTTGTTCCCTTCAATTGATGTGGTGAGTCCAAGCTCTCAGAGCTGGGTTAGTCTTTAGCTATGTAGGCCAAGGGCTGGGCATTCCTTGTGTAAATGGGGCTATTCTTACTCCACTTTCCAGCCCAGACATCTCCTATCCACCCTGCTGGCAGTGTGGGAAAGGCAGGAATGCCACCATCAGTGAAACTGGTCATATTCTAGGAATGCAGTGATTATGGTCTATAACCTCAAGAGAATAAATGGGAGAAAAGGGTCATTCTATGCCTATATTATCAAATTCCACATAACAAACTTAACATGACCAAAAAATAAAAAAAATAAACAATTATCCCTTACATTTTCCTGCATACCCTGCATAAGACTTGCAATTGTGGTCAATATCAGTGAAGCTCTGTGATAACTGTTGAGAGTGTTTAGAAGCAAGAATCATAATATGATGCAGGGTCATGAGTAATGACATATTAACATTAAGTAAATGGTATGAGAGGACTGCAAAGGTAAGAAATTTATATGATTTCATACAAAGAGCCATGTCATTGTGCATGATAATATCATTGCTGTCTGTTTCCTTTGGTAGAAGGTATGAAATTATCCAAGAGTAGCATATTTGACAATAAAGAAAATGAAGCAATGGTCCTTGAACCAGAATGGGAAGAGATGCTATCTACAAAGAATCTTCATGTGCATTAATTAGACAATTAGAAATACATAAGTACATTTCTTCAATACATCACTATACTTCACATAGGCCTTGACCTTCTATAAAACTTATAGAAGGTGCTTGACTCTCAGTGATGAACTTTGCCACCCAATTTCTCAATCCAGAAACTTAACATTCCCCCTCCAACTATGCTTTCTCCTCTAACACCCACCTCAAATCTCATCCATCTCCAAGTTCTGCAGGTTCTACCTACTAAGCCTCCTTCCCTATCTCTGACCTCTCTGAATCTCCAAGCTTGCACCTCTTTATCTAGGTTTCTTTTTCCTCTCATCTGCATGACTACAGTAGCATCCTGATTCCCCTCATCCTTTCCTAATTCTTGCCAACCTATTATGACATCTGACCCTGGATTAAGAGCATTGCCTCTCATGGCTAAAGTATAAAGTCCAAACTTCTTAACAGGGCTTAAAAGAGAGTACTAAAGAGCATTGTTCCAAGGGCCTGGGAGTTTAGCTCAGTGGTAGAGTGCTTCCCTAGCAGGTGTGAAGCACTGAGTTTGATCCTCAGCACTCCATTAAAATAAGTAAATACATAAAATAAAGGTATTGTGTCCATTTGCAACTAAAAAAAAAAAAAGCATTGTTCCACGTTTGGGATTCAGGGGGTTAAACATTTACTGCATGGAGCTCTGTCCTCCATCTTTCCATGTCACTATAGGGTGTCAAGAATATCCTAGCTGTTGTCAAGAGAATCAGCAATGCTGAAAAAAAAAGAGGCAAACACCAAGTTATTATTAGGTCATGTCTAAATTTATTGTCTGATTTCTAATTGTGATGATAAAACATGATTATATTGGCAAGTTTGAAATTATTGCTTATCACAAAGCTGAGGAAATTGTGAATTTCACTGGTAGTGTGGAGTGATCAGCTCCAGATCTAATGTGCAACTCAAAGACCTAGAAAAATGGCAGAATAATCTACTCCCATCCCGCCAGTTTGATTTCATTGTACTGACAACCTCAAGGTATCCTGGACCACAAAGAAACAAGACAAAGACCCACAGAAAGGAAAATCTCAGGATTTTCTTTCTAGGGAGTTGATACATTACACACAATGAAATGCACTGATGGACAAAAAATAAATTTAAAAAAGTAGTCTTTAACTACTTTTATCACCAGTTTTTGTTTTGTCTTTTAAAAAAAATAGCATAATTTTGGGGAGAAGCCTAGTAAATTTACTTATGCCTCATTGATTAACTAACACAAATTTTTAAACCACCATTAAATTTCACAGACACCCTTATAATTTCTCTAAACAATGTGCTGGAAGCATTTGAAACAACTGAATCATATAATAACAGGTCTTCACAAATTACCAGCCCTAGGAGAATTGTTTTTTATTATTATTATTTTTTTTTTTTGTAGTTGTAGATGGACAGTATGCTTTTATTTTATTTGTTTCATTTTTTATGTGGTGCTAAGGATCTAACCCAGTGCCTCACACAGGCTACACAAGTGCTCTGCCACTACTGAGCTACAGCCTCAGACCCAAACAATGTAATTTTTTTTTTTTTTTGGTGCTGAGAATCAAACCCAGGGCCTTGTGCATGCAAGGTAAGCACTCTACCAACTGAACTATATTCCCAGCCCTGAGAATTCTTATTTTTTTTCCCCTTGGATACTAGAATCTTGAGAGCAGTGAGTGCAATCCAATAAAAAAATGCATTCACTTTGAAAACTTTTTTTAGCTTTTTCAGGTTTTCTAAATCTAGCTAGTGATCCCTTTGCTAATTAAAAACATACTTCTACTCTTCAAAGGAAAATTCATATATCTGATCTTTTATTTTCTTTTAAAAGAAGGCCTTAGCCAGGCCTATAATTCCAATGACTTTGGAGGCTGAGGCAGGAGAATTACAAGTTTAAGCCCAGCCTGGACAATTTAGCAAGGCCCTGTTTCAAAATAAAAAGGGCTAGGATGTAATTCAGTGGTAGAGTGCCCTTGGGTTGAATCCTCAGTACCAGATGATTTGTACCCCCATAGCCAGACTTCTGCCAGGCAAGTCCTCTCATAGCAAAATCCAGCCATAGAAGCTTTTTTTTTTTTCCCCAAATTCCTCCAAAATGCCACATTCTCTCTCACATCCAGGCCTTAAAATACTTAAGTAGAAAACTATAGAATAGCTATAAGGAATGTCTGAGCCTCTACCCTCTTATCCAACTGTAAAAGGAAAAAACAAACTGTTTTTCTCTTACTATGCTCCCACATGATACAGAATACTGTGACCAGATGTTGGGGAGGTGGTTCCTGAGCTGTTCTCCAGTGGACACCAGCTGGGTGCCCTCTAATTCAGTTCAGTTGATCTCCAGGTAGACAGTGTCAGCTTCCACAGGGCAAGAGCTCAGTCCCACAAGACTGCCCGCCCCCTTCAGAAGTCAATCAAAAGTTCTTGTTGGGCTGGGGTTGTGGCTCAGTGGTAGAGCGCTGGCCTCGCATGTGCAAGACCTTGGGTTCCATCCTCAGCACCACATAAAAAAATAAATAAGTGAAATAAAGGTATTGTGTCCAACTTCAACTAACAAATAAATATTAAAAAAAAAAAAAAAAGTTCCTGTTGTCACCTGTGCTTCTGACCAACTGGCTATGAATCAGCATTCCCCTTCTTTGGGTTCAACAATTTGCCAAGATGGCTCACAGAACTAAAGGCACGTTTTTTGTTGTTGTTGTTGTTGTTTTTTTGAGAGAGAGAGAGAGAAAAAAAATTTTTTTTAATGTTTTTTTTTTTTTTAGTTTTCGGCGCACACAACATCTTTGTTGTATGTGGTGCTGAGGATCAAACCCGGGCCGCACACATGCCAGGCGAGGGTGCTACCCCTTGAGCCATATCCCCAGCCCCTACCATTTTTAAAAAATATTTATTTTTTAGTTGTAGTTGGACACATACACTTATTTTATTTATTTATTTTTATGTGGTGCTGAGGATCCAACCCAGGGCCTCCCACATGGGAGGTGAATGCTCTACCGCTAAGCCCCAACCCCAGCCCAGGGCACCATTTTAATTGGCTTAGTATAAAGGATATTTTACAAGATACAGATGAACCATCAGAGAGCAGAGGTGTGTAGGGGGAGGTATGAGGCAGGAGAGGCTCCCAGTCTTCATGCCCTCTCTAGTCATGCCACGTTCCCAGTATATCCACATGTTCATAACCAGGAAGCTTGTCAGTTCTTCCCCAACCCCCCAAAGGAGATAGGGTCTCACTATGTTGCCCAGACTGGCCTTGAACTCCTTGACTCAAGTGATCCTCCTGCCTCAGCCTCCTGAGTAGGTGGGACTACAGGTACACACTCAACCACTGCATTTTTAATGTGTCTCAAACTGGATTTATTTATGAGCTAACACATTGAAGTTTAATTTTGTTTTCAAATTATATTTGTCTGTTCCTTCTTCCTTTACAAGCACTTTCAAGACTTTTGGCTATACCCAAAGGTTTTCATTTCCATATGAAACAAATGCAGAGAACTGAGCAAGAGTTTGCTGTAGAAGTTTGGGTGCAAAGATTCAAATATCACATTCTGGGGGCTGGAGTTGTGGCTCAGTGGTAGAGTGCTCGCCTAGCATCCATGAGGCACTGGGTTTGATCCTCAGCACCACATAAAAATAAAATAAAGATATTGTGTCCACTTAAAACTAAAAAATATATATATATTTTTAAAAAATTCATATTCTGTTGACAGCATAAAATCATCACTGAGAAGAAAAACAAGATTTCTTTTACCTGGTGAATGGGTTTCAATAAATACCAATAAAAATGTTTTTGATAAAATTCAAAAAAGCTGTGCAAGCATTGGCTCTTTTTCTTGGACTTGGTTGAGGTGAGGAGAATTTATTTGATTATTTTTGAATAGATGATACAGTTGCATGGTTCAAAATTTAAAAGATACAGCCTATAAGTCCAGCAATTTGGGAGGCTGAGGCAGAAGGATCACTTGAGTACACAAGTTCAAGGGACCAGTCTCAAAAGAAAAAAAAAAAATTAAAAGATGCAAAATGGTGTATGTAAAAAGTTTCTCTGCCACTTTGTCCCTCATCCACATACTTCCTTCCCCTGAAGGCAACTAATGTTATCAGTTCCTTCCAAACTTTATTTAAATGTGAAGATATTCCAAGTATACTTCTGAAACCTGCTTACTTTTTTCAACCAGCTTTATATTTCTGAGACCTATATTTTGAAATATGTAGATCCAGATGGCTCATTTTGTTCCCTAGCAGTGCCGTCCAATAGAATTTTATGCACTGATGGAAATGTTCTATATCTGCATTGTCTACTATGGTACACACTAACCACACATGGCTACTGAGCACGTGAAATGTGGCTAATGTGATTCAGCAACTGAATTTAAAATTTAAAACATAGAATTAATTTTAATGAATTTAAATTTAATTAGATTTAAGTTTAAATAGCCACATGTAGCTTGTGGAACCATATTGGACAGTGCAGTTCTATAATATCCAATTATATAAATATACCACAAATAAAGTATCTATTTTTGTGTTTATGGGTATTAAAAGTAGTTTCTAGGCAGGAAGATCTCAAGTTCAAGGCCATCCTCAGCAATATAGGAAGACCCCCTCTCAAAATTTTAAAAAGGGCTGACGCTGGGCACAGTGGCCCATGCCTCTAATCCCCGTGGCTCAGAAGGCTGAAGCAAGAGGATAGCGAGTTCAAAGCCAGTTTCAGCAAAAGCAAGGCACTAAGAAACTTAGTGAGACTCTGTCTCTAAATTAATCAATAAATAATACACTGATGAGGTCAAAGCCCTCATGATCTAATTGGTTCCTCAAATCCATAGCTCTGAACATTGCTACCCTGAGGAACACGCTTTCACCACATGAGATTATGAGATTTCGGGGTCATTCCAGATCCAACCCATAACAATGCCATATATGGTGTTTACTACGCTGTGCCTTTCATTTTAATTTTTAATTTTTGCATTATCAGTATATTCACCTGGGTCTGGTCATGATGCTCCATGGTAAAGCCTTTTAGCATATGAGAGGCCCTGGGTTTGATCCTCAGCACTGAAAAAAAAAAAAAAAAAATGCACACACCTATACACATGTATTTCAAAAGGTGCCAAAAGATAATCAGGATCTTCAAAAAAGTTCAACAAAAGTGCATATGACTGACAAAGATTCTCTTCTGATCAAACTCTAGCCAGGCTCCTGTGAGCCCTTTCCCTATTAGGCCTCAACCTTGGAAGATAAAGACAAACTACATTTCTAACATAGAAACTGTGTTTTTGTTTTTGGGGGGTGGTGGTGGTGGTGGTGGTGGTGGTGTTGGGATTGAACCCAGGGCCTCACAAATGCTAGGCAAGTGCTCTATCACTGAGCCATATCCCCAGCCCTTCTCTCTCCTCTTTCTCTCTATTCCCCCACACCTTTTTTTTGGGGTGGGTGGGTGGGAGAAACCGTGTTATAAAATAGCTTGAAAGTATACTTCCTTTAAGCTTTTATGGAAAGGTGTATTTTTTGGTCTTTTTTTTTTTGCTTATTTATTATAAATTTTTTTTTTAACATTGATTATAACTCTGGGTGAGGGGATAATGGTCTCATGAAGTGTTTCTATGTTATTGAAAGCAATTTGTATAAATCAGTGAGCCTCCCTTCCCCGACTCCGTCTCTGGGCTAATTTCTATTCATCCCTCAGTTCTCATTTAAACCTCACATCCTCAGAAAGATCTTTGCTGTCTCTTGCCCTGGCGTCAGTGTTCCTGTTCCTCACGCTCATGGCACACTGTATTTCCTGGGTCCTGGCTCTGCATTTCATTGGTGCACATCACTAAACATTGGTAATCTTAGCCAGACCAAAGGCTGCAGGAAGGCAGGGACCTAATGTTTGTTCACCACTAGCCCAGTGTTCACCATGTTGATGTCACAAGTTGGCCATCGATAAAAATGTGTTGACTGAGTGAATGAGTGAAAGGAACAGCCTCAAAAGAGGACATAAATCAAGTTGTCCCTCCATATGGGCAAACCTAGCTCCCTGTGAAGGCCTCCTGCTTCAGAACAAGGGAGAAGACAAGAATCAAGGCAGGTTGCAGCCCCGTTGCAGAGCAGAGGCCTGTGGAAGGAATGAGTGGTCCCGACCCCTCTGCACAGGAGTCTGGTTTAAAAACAGAGATGTACCACGCAAGGGACCCCATCATCACTGGAGGCCAGGGACATCAAGGGATTTCAGCAGACGCAGCACAACTGAACACTTAAGAGAGTCTGGGACACTCTTTAGGCCACCTGGGAGGGAACAACAATGTAGGGTCATGGGGCCCACAGCAGAGCTTCCTAGGGATTTCCTTCACAGAGAGAGGGGCTGGAAAGGGGCTAGATTTCTCTTAATAGTGCTGGTGCCTAAATATCAACTTAAGTGTTTTTTATGTGTTTGTTTTGTACTTTACGGTCAAATTGTATCCAAGTTTAGATTACATTTTTAAAACTCTCAAATGCAGGGCTGAGGAGATAGCTCAGTTGGTAAAGTGCTTTCCTCCCATGCACAAGGCCCTGGGTTCAATCCCCAGCAACACACACACACACATGCACGCACGCACAAAACAAAACAAAAGCTCTCCCAAATCCAGGCTGGGGGTTATAGGTCAGTGGTAGGGTGCTTAGCATGGAAGAGGCCCTGCGTTCCATCTCCAGCACCACAAATGAAACCCAAAACTCCCAAATCCACTCAAAGCCATGATGAGTCAATAGCTTCCGCAGGTCACCATGACCTTGCCTCTCTAACTCATGCTCAACAACCACTTCATTTAGAATGTAAACTCAGTACTAGGCAGTGTCTTGGACAGAGGCCCTCACTGGGCAAACAGGATATTCTGGACTCCAGATTTTGTCAGTCTCTGTCACTTTGGCTAACTATGAGATTACATGCCTCTGCCACGAGGTCACAGTCTTCCTGCCACACCACACTCCACGGTAGACTCACCATTGGGGAAGGGCTGGAAAAGGAAACTAGACCCTTTTTCTCAGCCAGTTCATCCTGATGTGCCCACTTACCTGTACTAGGCAAAATGTTTTACTAGCTTCAATAATTTCTTGAATTTTCTAGATATTTCTGAATGCACTTCCCAAGTTAGGGCCCAATGATGGCTATCTTACTTGAACCTCCCAGTCAATCCTAGAGAAGAAGGAGAAGGGGTAGGGTAGGCTTCTCTTCACACACACACACACACACACATGAGCTGGGGATTGAACTCAGAGCCTCACACATAGTATAGGCAGTTGCTCTACCTCTGAGCCACACCCCGAACCTGCTTTTACTGCTTTCACATCATATCTTCAGCTTCTTGGCTATAGTGGCCCGTTCAGCAGACAAAGGTTCCTTTTAGAAACAATCCTTTGAGGTAAGTGTTACTATCCTCATCATGGACAGATTGGAAATCAGAGATGAGAGAGTCAATTACCTCCTCCTTTGGGAGAAACTTGATTCTAGATCTGGATCTTGATTATATTAAAAGGGAGCTTAATGAATGCAGAAAATTGTTTCTTTCTCATAAAGTACGGTTTTCGGTCTATTGTCTTTGTGCAAACCCCTATTTTGAATTTCAGTAGATGCATATAAGGTTTTTTCCTTCTCAAACAAACTGAATATTCTCAGAAACAAATGGATGCTACAACCAAATAAGGGGGAACTTATTATTTGCTGAGGGCAAATGAAAAAATAGTCCCTTCATACATTTTCCATCCCAACTACCTGCTTCCATCAGACTTCCCCCACTCCAAAGTCTGGAGAATTTTTATCTAGTTTTTCAGTGTATACAGGTACATGTGTGAGAGTGTGTACATAAGTGTATATGTGACAATGTTAAGAAAAATGAACTCAATTATTCTTCCAAAGCTGTATGTATTCATAATGAGTCCTTGGCTTTTAAAACTCCAAAGTTAATAATTTGACTCATTTATAATTGATGTCTGCTGCCATTTCTTTAGACAATAAAGCCAGAATTCTTGTGTGTGAGTGTGTGTGTGTGTGTGTGTATATGTATGTGTATGTTTTGTTATGGGAGGTAAGGAGAAGAGTTACAGGAAATAGAGAATAACAGATAAATATTTTTAAAATATTTTGTAGTTGTTGATGAACCTTTAGTTTTTATTTATTTGTATGTGGTGCTGAGAATCAAACCCAGTGCCTCACACATGCTAGGCAAGTGCTTCACCACTGAGCCACAACCCCAGCCCCACAGATAAATATTTTAAAAATATTCTCTTTTGAGCTGGGCATGGTGGCACGTGCCTATAATTTAGAGATTCCAGAGGAAATCCTAGCAACTCAGCAGGCTGAGGCAGGAGGATCACGTTTAATCCCAGCCTGAATAACTTAGCGAGACCCTGTCTTTTTATATATATATTTGTAGTTGGACACAAGACCTTTAGTTTATTTATTTTCATGTGGTGCTGAGGATCAAACCCAGTGCCTCACACATGCTAGGTGGGTATTCTACCCCTGAGCCACAACCCCAGCCCTGAGACTCTGTCTTAAAATAATAAAAAGTGTGGGCTGGGGATATAGCTCAGTTGGTAGAGTGCCTGCCTCGAATGCACAAGGCCCTCGGTTCAATCCCCAGCACCACAAAAATAATAATAATAAAAAGTGCTAGGGAACCCAGCTCAGAGGTAAAGCATTCTTGGGCTCAATTTCCAGTATCAAAACAAAATTTCTCTCTCTAGGCTCAACCCCAGAAGGGATGGAAAGAGAGAACAATGGTAACCCAAACAAATGGCCATTGACTGAATCATAACGATGGTTGGAACAGCCTGCCAATGCAGAAAAATAAAACCAAGCTATTTTTGAGTGTCAGTGATATGCTAGGCAATATATATGATGCACTTTTATATCCATCACCTCATTTTCCTCAAGGTAATCCTGCAAGGTAGGCATCGCCGAACTCACTTTTTAGGAATGAGGGAACACAGGCTGAGAAAGGTTGAGTAACTTCTCCAGGGCCACACAGAATGAAAGAGGTAGGATTCCAACTCTCATCCATGACTGCTAACCTTACCATTCTTTCCCTACAATAGTATTCTCTAGAGAAAATATGTCAGCACTATATGTTGAAGGCTCTATAAAGATTTTTCTACCTTATAGGAACTAATTTTAAAGACAAGAATAAAATGAGTTTATCCAACCTGGCTTTAAACTAGAGGAGTCAGACTTGAACCCCTGCCAAAGAAAGAGAGTCAGTGAACTCTGGTCCCAGCTTCTGTGGTCATATGCTGGATCAGAATCCACCTGATCTGGAGGTGATCTCTTTCCTTCAGCTTTTAATTATGACCAGAAGAAAAAATGCCTACAGTTTGTATTTTTCAGAGATTTTAAAAATTATAAAATGCATATTTTCTTCCTGACCACATATACTCTTTAAATTTTTTTAATTTAATATTTAAATTAAATAGTAGTTGGACACAATACCTTTATTTTATTTATTTATTTTTATGTGGGGTGCCAGGGATCGAACCCAGGGCGCTGCCCGTGCTAGGTGAGTGCTCTACTGCTGAGCCACAACCTCAGCCCCAGACCACTTATACTTTTATTTGCCCTCTCTGTTTGGTTCATTTAGCCCAGTCTAAATGTCACCAGAGCTTCCTGGTCTGTAGAGGAAGACCCTCAAACATCAGTTTTGATTATCTATTGCTGTGTAACAAATGGCTCCAAAACTTTGCGTATAAAAGTGACAACCATTTTAGGATTTCTCCCAATTCAGTAGGTCAGGAATTCCAGCAGGGCCTGGCTAGCCTCTGAACCATGTGGTGTCTGATGTAAGAAACACCATGAGGGCTTTTTTTTTCTTTCCTTTTTTTTAATTGGTGCATAATAATTATACAGAATAGGGGTTTCATTCTGGAATATTTGTACATGCACACATTGATCAATTCAGTTCTCCAGTACTTTCCCTTGTCCTCCCCTCTTCCCTCCCCCTGACCCCCTTTGTCTACCCTACTGGTCTTCCTTTTATTTTCATAAGATGCCCCTTTTTCCTTTTTTCTCTCTAGCTTCCATATATGAAAGAAAACATATG